TGTTCTTGCTGCTGTTTCTGCTCCTGCAGCTTCTGCTGTTCTTGCTGTTGTTGCTGTTGTTGCTGTTCTTGCTGCAGTTTCTGCTCCTGCAGCTTCTGCTTTTCTTGCTGGTGTTGCTGTTCTTGCTGCTGTTTCTGCTCTTGCAGCTTCTGCTGTTCTTGCTGTTGTTGCTGTTTCTGCTCCAGCAGCTTCTGCTGTTCTTGCTGTTGTTGCTGTTCTTGCTGCCGTTTCTGCTCCTGCAGCTTCTGCTGTTCTTGCTGTTGTTGTTGTAGTTCTTGCCGTAGCTGCCGACGTTGTTGTTGCAGCTGTTGCTGCTGTTCCTGTTGCAGCTGTTGCTGCTGTTCCTTTTGCAGCTGGAGCTGTTGTCGCTCTTGTTGAAGCTGTTGTCGCTCATGCTGAAGCTGTTGTCGCTCATGCTGCGTATCGAGGCTGAGGTTATTTAACTGTTCCTGTTGATAATAAACAATATTTTAGCATCAATGTTACTTATATTTTTCTCCAATTAAACTCACTGCAGCTTTCATACAACATTCAGTAGTTAGATTGATAACTAGGAAACAGTGATGAGGTTCAAACAGAAGCCAATCGTTATGCTTCCTGAAATAATTGTGGAAAACGCAGTGTTCTCCAAGATCCAAAATAGCTGTTGGGTGGTCTAATTAGCATAAATTTGCATATCATTTACCTACACACTAAGTCATTTATTATTCTTTTTTTTAATTTAATTGAAACATGTTACAATCTTTTGAAATACAGATTGGTCAATATCAATTTTTACAAAAGTCTGTGATTTATACGTTCTCAAATTATTCTGCGTTTATGAAATAAAATTTGAGTAACGAAGAGTAAGTACAAAACATAGTTGAGTTGTAATGTAGAAAATATACGAGGTGATTTGTCCCTTTAGCCAAAACGAATGATTTGTCAAAATAAAACCCATAACATTTTTATTTGTGGCATCAGTACTAACCCGTGCTGACGGACGGTACGATACATTTACGCATGTACGGTCACGACACATTGCGTTGTATTTTCACACGTTTTGGAATTCAAGCAAAAATGCTAGCAATTGGCAAAATAAAATAATCTGCTATGTTCTCGAAAAAGTCTGCATAAATGTTTATAAAATTGAAAAAAGTATGTGGAAAAGATAACTAAAATGTGTATTCAATTACAAATACTGGCGGTAAACTTATCCGGCAGCCATGTTTGATGTTTTCCGGATTCAGTACACAAACACCCAGAATGCGCTGTTCTCCTATGCAACTTATACTAAATACTAAATGGTTATATAGCGCCAACAGCGGTGGGTGGCGGACGGTCGCTGAATGGGTTAGGCCAAAAGGTAATCAGTTTGCCTTCTTCATGCTGTTTTCATGATGAAAATCGAGCAAACGTTGTAAATACGGGTTAGAATTTTAATTTTTGTTCGGGTTTACATGCAATCTGCTAATATATTTCGTTTTGATTTACTTACTTCTTTTGTGATCGGAAGACGATTATTAAAAATACAGCTGTAAATAGAAACCACTGTAGTTGCGCATTGTGAGCAATAAGTGGCAACAACGTCGGGCGACAATGAATTCAGGCGATTGAAACATTGCCATGAATACACTTGATAACTGCTTGTGGAGAACACCGAAACGTATATATATATATACGATACCTTTATTCTTTTATACGACACACTTAAACCAACACAAATACAGTAATGTAATGAGGGTGGTAGTATAGTGGCGATTGTTTTTAACGGTTCCATGGATGGGAAGACCAGGTAGACGGATCAACTTGAAGATGATGCTACTAGGTGGTGATAATACAACAATAATTAGAGTGTAGGATCAAATTGTACATCACACCAAAAATGTCTTGGTCTAACACTTTTTTTTTAGTAATGTTTCGGGGATGATGAAAATACCCTTTTGTCAAACTGGAAATACAAATAAATATGTATTTATTTATATATTTATTTATTTTAATGTGAGTATAAATAAGTAAGTGTACTCTTTTTCCATCCAGTCACAAACACTATTTCAGGTTACTTTCACATTTATTTGTACTCTCTACATCAAATCATTGTATTTCCTAGATCTACCAAGTTATTTATGCTTTTTTGCCCAAGTCTTGATTTTTTCATGGTTGTTTTCTATTGTATTTCCAGTTTGACAAAAGGGTAATTTCATCATCCCCGAAACATTACTAAAAAAAAGTGTTGGACCAAGACATTTTTGGTGTGATGTACAGTTTGATCCTACACTCTAATTATTGTTATATTATCATCACCTAGTAGAACCGTCTACCTGGTCTTCCCATCCATGGAACCGTTAGAAACAATCTCCACTATACTACCACCCTCATTACATTACTGTATTTGTGTTGGTTTAAGTGTATCGTATAAAAGAATAAAGGTATCATATATATATATATATACGTTTCGGTGTTCTCCACAAGCAGTTATCAAGTGTATTCATGGCAATGTGTCAATCGCCTGAATTCATTGTCGCCCGACGTTGTTGCCACTTATTGCTCACAATGCGCAACTACAGTGGTTTCTATTTACAGCTGTATTTTTAATAATCGTCTTCCGATCACAAAAGAAGTAAGTAAATCAAAACGAAAAATATTAGCAGATTGCATGTAAACCCGAACAAAAATTAAAATTCTAACCCGTATTTACAAAGTTTGCTCGATTTTCATCATGAAAACAGCATGAAGAAGGCAAACTGATTACCTTTTGGGCTAACCCATTCAGCGACCGTCCGCCACCCACCGCTGTTGGCGCTATACAACCATTTAGTATCTAGTATTTAGTATAAGTTGCATAGGAGAACAGCGCATTCTGGGTGTTTGTGTACTGAATCCGGAAAACATCAAACATGGCTGCCGGATAAGTTTACCGCCAGTATTTGTAATTGAATACACATTTTAGTTATCTTTTCCACATACTTTTTTCAATTTTATAAACTTTTATGCAGACTTTTTCGAGAACATAGCAGATTATTTTATTTCGCCAATTGCTAGCATTTTTGCTTGAATTCCAAAACGTGTGAAAATACAACGCAATGTGTCGTGACCGTACATGCGTAAATGTATCGTACCGTCCGTCAGCACGGGTTAGTGCTGATGCCACAAATAAAAATGTTATGGGTTTTATTTTGACAAATCATCCGTTTTGGCTTCAGGGACAAATCACCTCGTATATTTTCTACATTACAACTCAACTATGTTTTGTACTTACTCTTCGTTACTCAAATTTTATTTCATAAACGCAGAATAATTTGAGAACGTATAAATCACAGACTTTTGTAAAAATTGATATTGACCAATCTGTATTTCAAAAGATTGTAACATGTTTCAATTAAATTAAAAAAAGAATAATAAATGACTTAGTGTGTAGGTAAATGATATGCACATTTATGCTAATTAGACCACCCAACAGCTATTTTGGATCGTGGAGAACACTGCGTTTTCCACAATTATTTCAGGAAGCATAACGATTGGCTTCTGTTTGAACCTCATCACTGTTTCCTAGTTATCAATCTAACTACTGAATGTTGCATGAAAGCTGCAGTGAGTTTAATTGGAGAAAAATATAAGTAACATTGATGCTAAAAAATTGTGTTTATTATCAACAGGAACAGTTAAATAACCTCAGCCTCGATACGCAGCATGAGCGACAACAGCTTCAGCGTGAGCGACAACAGCTTCAACAAGAGCGACAACAGCTCCAGCTGCAAAAGGAACAGCAGCAACAGCTGCAACAGGAACAGCAGCAACAGCTGCAACAACAACGTCAGCAGCTACGGCAAGAACTACAACAACAACAGCAAGAACAGCAGAAGCTGCAGGAACAGAAACGGCAGCAAGAACAGCAACAACAGCAAGAACAGCAGAAGCTACAGGAGCAGAAACAGCAGCAAGAGCAGCAAGAACAGCAACAACAGCAAGAACAGCAGAAGCTGCAGGAGCAGAAACAGCAGCAACAACAGCAACAACAGCAAGAAAAGCAGAAGCTGCAGGAGCAGAAACAGCAGCAAGAACAGCAACAACAGCAAGAAAAGCAGAAGCTGCAGGAGCAGAAACGGCAGCATGAACAGCAACAACAGCAAGAACAGCAGAAGCTGCAGGAACAGAAACGGCAGCAAGAACAACAACAACAGCAAGAAAAGCAGAAGCTGCAGGAGCAGAAACGGCAGCATGAACAACAACAACAGGAAGAACAGCAGAAGCTGCAGGAGCAGAAACGGCAGCATGAACAGCAACAACAGCAAGAACAGCAGAAGCTGCAGGAACAGAAACGGCAGCAAGAACAGCAACAAGAGCAAGAAAAGCAGAAGCTGCAGGAGCAGAAACAGCAGCAACAACGGCAACAACAAGTGTTACAGCGACAGCTACATCAGCAACGGCAACAACAGCAGTTACTGCAACAACAACAACAGGAGCTGCAACAACAACAACAGAGGCTGCAACAACAACAACAGGAGCTGCAACAACAACGACTCCAGCACCTCCAGCACAGCAACGGGATCTCCAGCAGCTTCAGAGCTTCAGCAACAGCAACGGCAGCTCCAACAGCT